GCCTGTTACGACACTGGCTAACACGCCAATCATCACCCCCAATGAAAAATATTTTTCTACGCCACTGATTATGTCTTTTCTTAAGCTGTGTTAACCAGTTTATACGTTTGTTATACATTGCTATTCAGTTCTAAAAAGTTCTTGCTCAGTTTTTATTCAGATCTATTCCTTTCTACTACATTGTCAGTATGTTCAGTCCGTTTTAGTCATATCAGCTCGTTTGTATTACATTTAGTCAGATCTACTCGTTTCTACTACTACACATACATTAGTAGACCTATATTATTTTACCATGAAGCAAATGCAAGTGCTCTCAACACTAAATAATGAATGTTGGTTTCCTGCAATTGATAGTAGAAGCAGGGAATATGAAGAGATCAGAGAACGTGAAGAAAAAGAAAAACAGAGGTAGATGGGCCAGCATCGTCATCAGCAGGAAAATCATCAATGTATTTCTTTGAGGTTCCTCTCCCTTGCCTCTTCTGTTTCCTTGGCAGGTTTAATAGCAAGTACTGAATCAAAATGAGAACGGGCTAGATATGGTCTTATTACAGCAGATCGGACTGGAACATGACCCAGATCCCCGTTCTCAACGTGTTAAAGACTGCCTGAGAACGCAGTGCAAACGGGCAAGACTGCAGCATTAACTGGTTTGAACGGACACGTCGTAGTGCGAACCGTGTAGAAACGTCCTAGAACGGGTTGAAACTTACTGTAAACGGGGTTAAACAGGTTGAGGACGGATTAGAACTTATTAAGAATGGACTACAAACGACATTGAGCGTAACGTCTTCCCGTTTTAAACGTTGTGCAAACGTACAAACCGTCTGCAATCGTAATGGACTTACTTCAAACTGTGTTGTGTCGTAGTAAGCCAAAATTGCACGTTTGAACCCGTCCTCATCCCGTTTCATGAAATTTGACAAAATTTTAGTATTTTTGATAAATTATACCTCACTGAAATAATTATTCAACTGCACGATTCCGATTATAAAATATAGTGGATAACTTGTTATCTTCATGCAACACCTAATGCAATGACGTTTTGTCCTTGGCGGCGTCTTATGTTGTTCGGCTTATAATTACTGTAAGCCTAACAATACAAGAGGCTACCATTTGTATGAGTACCACATCTGTGAATGGTTGTGCGTTATCAATCTCGAATATGAAGTGTTTTTATAAGATGTTTTACGGAATCGGAATCATTCTTAAAATCGCCGTTTTGATGAGCAGCATTTCTGTTGCTTCAGGTAATATGCTTATTTCGGCAAAACAGTTTAATGCTGTGTTATGTATTAAACCCGTAGTACTGATTCCCTAATTCATGTGCAATTTTAATATTTTTGTTTTCGGACTGCAATTTGATATTTTCTGTATTTTTGATATTAAAATTCAATTCAATTTATTGTAAATGTAATTTTTAGAATAATAATAATTATTTTAATTAATATATAATATTTTAATAATGTAATGAGTAGTAGGCCTAGCGTAACAATTTTGTTTATCAACTTTTAATTTCACAAATTTAAATTATAGCCTTATAGTGTGTATTTTTAAATATTTTATCTTCTGCATTTTGTAATTTGATGTTTGTTTGGTGTAGTATTTTTTGATCTGTTTGGTGTTAATGTATTTTCTAATTGTTTATACCAGATTCAAGGAATTCTGTTTTGGTATTTTTGGTACAGAACATAACGCCGTGTCTTATCTTATCTTAATGTAAAAGTGAAACACACAAGGCCTGCCTGTGTTGCTCTCACAACCAAATACCATTGCTGTCCTGAGATTTACTCAATTCTGTCCCAAGATGTTCAACTTTATGTTGGTTAAAGTTAAATTTCCCAGCTTACTGAAAGTGACGAATTTACGTACCTTTTAAAGATGGGAAATTATAATTGAAAATGTATATAATGTGTCCGAATGCTCAAAATGGATTCGAATATGCTCTAACTCCCCATGCATAGTGTCGAAGCACGAGAGCTCCCCCGCCCCGGCCGGTAATTCAACCCCTGAATATCAATTCACGAGAAAGGCGGCAAAACCAGACTAAGAATTATAATCTAATCAGCCTGTTTTCGTTATTACCGGTATCTCATCAGCCTGTTTTCATTATTACACTGACCAAAGCACTGTAGTGACAGTGGTATGTTCGTTCCTTTAGGACTTCCTTTATTAAATGGATTATGAATTAGTCAGTGAATGTGTTTATAGGTATTGGAGTCGGTTAGCTAACTCTCGCAATAGTCTTCTGCGACTCTTTATGAACAATTTATTTATGCATTATTTTTCTATTTTAGAAATGAAATGAGCTATTGTACTAGCTGCGATGTAGACATTTTATTTATTTGACTTATTATTTATTTTATGTTTCTGTACTATGGACTGGTATAGTCTGAAATAAAAGTATTACAATTACATTTTAGTTTTGTAGGAAATATTTTTTAAATTTTTATTTTCATTATTCGGGGTTCGTCGGGGTGAAACAGCTAATACCCCCTTCGTAGTAAATGTCAAAATTGCACGTTTCAATACATCCTCATCTCGTTTAAAGAAATTATCAGAACGGACAAGAACGTCTTCGAACTACAGTACACCTGTCTCTTATACACATCTAGATGTGTATAAGAGACAGGTTTGGGACTATTATGTGTTTAAATAACTTAAAAGGATAAACCTTAAAAAAATCCCTAAAAAATATTTTTGTGTTTTTAATTCTAATTTCATCGGAATTGATGAAAACTCCCTGAAAAGTGCAATTTATAGAGGAAATTGGCCTACCGTAACAAGAAATGCGCGCAAAGAATTTGAGAATTTTAGGCACTTTCAGAGGATGCATTGTCAAGGGGTGGGGAAAGATTTTCCAAAGATGGATATTTTCACCTTGTGCCCCGGTGTTTTTAATTCTAATTTCGTTGGAATTGATCAAAACTCCCTAAAATGTGCAATTTTTAGAGGAAATT